CCAGTTTCTCAATTAACGGCCATGCTGGTCGCCACAGTTGGGACTTTTTTCTGATTTTTCTGAGACACAGCGTAAGAACCCACAGAGCCGGTGACATGTCCACAAGCTCTAGTGGAAATTTCTTTTCTTGCCCTATTGAAGCCAGATTTAAAGATAGGTAGATAGTGTAGTTAGGTAAATCGGATCTAATAGGGAGTCTAATAAAGAAAATGGAGCTGATCTGAGCCTGGGAAACTAGAAATGCACCTGGGAGGCTGAAATGTTAATATTTCCAAGTCCCTGGCCGGTCCCAAAGAACTGTTAATGAAACAGCTCCCAGCAAGACAGGGAGATGCTAATCAAATCACCCTAGGCACTTCCTGGCCAGATCGCTCTCCCCACTGGGTAGAGGGAGATAAAGGACAGGAATACGGAAGAAGAACAAAAGATCTTAGATATAAAAGGGAGAAGACTCCCTTTCCCAAGGATTCCACTCTACACTTGCCTCTGGATGCTTCATTGGTTTACACTTCAGCATTTCGGTAAGCAAGGACTCAGTAACCGGCGGTATCAACATTTCTCAATGTTTCATTTATGACACATTTATTCTCTCCCCCTAAAATCCTTTTTTCTTTTTACTACTGGGGATTGAACATATAGGCACTTAACTACTGAGTCACATCCCCAGCCCTTTTTATTTTTTATTTTTAATTTTGAGATAGGGTCTCCCTGAGTTGCTAAATTGCAGAGGCTGGCCTCCAACTTGCAATCCTCCTGCCTCAGCCTTCCGAGTTGCTGGGATAACAGGCGTGCACCACCACTGCACTCAGCTAGATTTGGGATCTTATCATATGTGACAGTGGGACTTTTTCAAAACATAAGTTAAAATTCTGCAAAATGTCTCTTGTGAGTTGCACACAGTTTGGATTGTATGATCCCACTTTTATTAAAATCAAAATAATCTCTATTACCACATCTAGGAGGAGAGGGAGAAACCTGGAGCAGCATTCAGGAAACTAAACAGTGGTTATGAACAGGTGACGAAGGAGCACATTTCTCTGCCTCCTGTGCAAGTATTTTTGTAAATAACTTCCCAAAATAACTTGCATGTATTTTAGACATATCCAACTATCCCATAAAATGTTTTTTTAAATGGGAAGAATGAAACAAGAAGATCTCTATCTGAGGTCACCAGGGAACCTCCAAAGTTTCAGAAGGGAAAGAGGGAGAATCTTCTGGAAGCAGCAGATGCCAGAGAGCCCCAGAGATAGGAAGCAAGGACCCAGAGAGGGACTGATGAGGACATCCAGGGTTGGAAATAAGGAAGCAAGGGATAAGCGTGAGGCAGAGGAAATGGAAATAAATGAGGAGACGTGGGAGCAGGAGAACAGCCCTGTGTCAGGGGCAGGTTATTAGTTTAGCCAAGTCTGCCTGTTGCCACGGGGTAAAGGGAGAAGATGATAATATGTAAACACGGCCAGCACTTGGACTCCTCTCACTACCTGTGTGTTGATGACGTCTGACCCTCACAGCTCCCCGGAGTTAGGCAGTGTTACCATCCCTCCAGCGCAGGGAGGAGTCCTTTGAAGAACAGAGAAGTTAAGCCACTCAGCCCAGTGAGGTCCCAGTGAGGAAATGATGGAGGCAGGCCTGGACCTCAGGAGGTCTGGCTGAGCAGCCCCTGTTCTGAAGGTCACTAGAGCTGCCTAGCACAGCGCCTGGCCAACAGTGAGCAGAAAAGATGTTAATGAATGTGATTATATTAAAAGGCGAGGCTTCCACCCGCAGCCAAGTGCCCACAGGAACATGCACAGGCCCTTCCCGTCCAATACCAGCTTTATAAATGTCCCCAGAAACTGCCCTGACACACTGAAGGCAGCACTTTTCCTAGGACATAAAACTCCCTGAAATATGGCAGGAGGTCCGTGCAGTTTCTCTCTCTCTCTCTCTCTCTCTCTCTGTCTCTCAATCCAAGGGCGCTTAACCAGTCTCTCTAAATTGCTTAGGGCCACGCTAAATTGATGAGGCTTATTTTGAGCTGGAGATCCTTCCGAATCACTGAGATTACAGACAAGCGCCACTATATATATATATATATTTTTTTTTTTTTTTTTTTTTTTTTTTTTTAACAGGGGTAGAAACTGGAATCCAGACAGGGCAATTATCTTGCTTAAAGGCTCACAGCAGATAAACCGTGTGATTTCCAACGCCCGCGCTCTGACCCATATCACCAGGCGGATGAAGAGCTCGGCGGTCGAGTGAGCCCACAAGCCCCCAACAAGTGCATGTGGTTATTCTTTGCTTTCCGCAGCTGCGAGGCGGGCTGCACCGGGCGGCGGACCGAGGCCACTCCTCCCCGGAAGCTTTCTTAACCCAGAGGCTCAGCGCGCCGCTGTCTGGCCCCTCCGCTCGAGGATTGCTGCTCGGTTCCCTACCTCGCTCGCTCCTGGACGCCGGGTCTGGCCACCCGCCACCAGCCCGCGCTGGGGACAGGCCCTGTTCTTCTTGCTCATCAATTCCTTCTCCAGCGCAGGAGCCTCCAAGCGGATCAGCCTCACCTCCCAGCCCGCCCTGCGCCTCCTGCACCTGGCGCTCCCGCCGCGTCTGCTCCCCCGCGGGTGGCGTTGGCGACCCCGCCTGGGGCAGCCCATGGGCGGCGCACCCTGGCACTGGAGCCGGATTTCTTGCCTGGAGGACCGATCGCTTTCTTCTTGTCACCGAGCCAGGTCCCTGCGGCGCTGGGGAGGGACACCTGGTGGCGTCTGAGACCTCTACCCACGGCCCCAGGCCTTGCGCAAACCCTGCTCTGCTCCCACCAGGTGCCAGACGGCGCTGCGGGCGCCCCGGGACCAAACCGCGTCTGAAATTATCCACAAACGCAAATCACCTTAGAATCTTCCGACACATGCAAACCAAGACCGCAATGAGGCTCACCTTAACCTACCGGGAGGACCACGCTGCCCACTGCTGCTGGAAAAGTACTTATGGTGCCATCTCGAGGGGAAAGTGTATGGACAAATTAGAAGAATTGTCACATGATGTGGCTGTCCCACTTCTGATCCCGGAACAAGCGACCCAATTATTTATCCACAAACGACTGGATAAAGGAAATGTGTACTATGCACACAGTGGAATATTATTTAGTCTTTTATTTTGTGTGTGGCAGGGTGAGAATTGGGATTTGGGAGATTGAACAGTCAAGCGTCCCTGGGAAGAATGGCTGCGACATTCTATAGCAACCGGAGGGCAGGCCCCCTGGAGGCAGAGCAGGGCTGTGGCCACCCCCTGGAGCACTCATTATACCAAGACACCGTTTTATTCCCTCATCTCCCGAGAGGATAGTGTTTACACAGCCCAGAGATGCCTGCACCAATACCAAAGGCTCCTGCGCCTCCCGGGGCTGGAGGTGCTCTGCCCACCTGCAGCCATGCGCTCACTCGCGCCCCCTGGTGGTCAGTCCCGCAGCAGCTCTGTGCGTGTCCCGGGAGCAAAGGGACCTAACTAGACTAAGGGAGGGGAGCTAACCTGGACTAAGGGAGAGGAGTTAATAGAGATTTAGAGAAAGGGGTTGACCTAGATTAATGGAAGGAGCTAACCTAGATTAAGAGAAAGGGGTTGATCAAGGCTGAACGCCTCAGGCCAGGAACCCTTCTGGCACTTGACATCATGCAGGACCTTGTTTGACCTTGCCTTGAGGTAGCTTTGCAAACACAGAAATGCAGAGTCTGAGAGATGCAGACAATCAAGGGGAAAGGCAGACTGCTTCAAGGGGCCTGTCTTTGACCTCAGGGCCACTCACCCGTTCCCAGCATCCCATGGGAAATTTGATATGGGATCAAAGTAGGCCACAATTCCACTCTCCCAGCTTGCACGGAATCCCAGTTAAGAAAACATCTTCTGCAGGGCGCAGTGGCACATGCCTATAATCCCAGTGGCTCAGGAGGCTGAGGTCAAGTTTAAAGCCAGCCTCAGGAACTCAGTGAGACCCTGTCACAAAAAAAGAAAGAGAGAGAGAGCTGGGGTTGTAGCTCAGTGGCAGAGCGCTTGCCTCACATGCATGAGGCCCCAGGTTTGATCCTCAGCGCCACATAAACATAAATAAATAAAAATAAAGATAATGTGTCCATCTAAAACTAAAAAACAATTATAAAAAATGGGGGGCTGGATATGTGGCTCCGTGGTTAAGCACTCCTGGGTTTAATTTCTGGCCCCAAAAAAGAAAGTACAAGTATTTTTAAAAAATTAAAAAATAATATTACAGCAATATTAAATCCCCCAGGGTGCTGATTATATGTTGATAATGCAGAAGGATGTGTTTGTTCGTGCAGACACCTAGGAATGTATTTAGGAATTGAGGTAGGCAGGAGGATGTCCCCCAAAGACATTGGCCCCTAATCTCGAGAACTTGTGGACATTACTACATATTGGAGAATTCGAGACCCCTCGGCTCCTGGCTGGCCATCTCTAAGTCCTGGAATGTCCTGCCTAATAGGAGTGTCTGTGTTTATCATGAACCTCGATAGTTGTGACCCATTTCACAGACCAGATTCTGGAAGATAAGGATCGTTCCTCCTAACCATAACACCTGTAAAAATGGGTGGTTGAAATCCAGTTAGAATTGGTCGGCACGGGCCAAGATGTCATGGAGTTGACATGGGAGTCGGGATTTGAAAGTCTGATGTCACCCTGCTGTCAGTGGTGGACCTGGGCAGGACTCCCTAGAAACTTCTCTGGGGTCCCCAATAAAACTGAAGTGCAGGAGAGACATTTGTCCCTCTCCCCTCTGAGAGGACCCACTCTCTCCCTTAAGAGTGTCCCCTTTCCCTTTTCCTATACCTTCAATAAACTCATGCCTATTACTCTTTTTTTAAAAAAATATTTTTTAGTAGTAGTTAGACACAATATCTTTATTTTATTTATTTATTTTTATGAGGTGCTGAGGATCAAACCCAGTGTGTCACACATGCTGAGCTGTGGCCCCAGCCCGATGCCTATTATTCTTGAATGACATGTCTGAAATCTTTCAGTCTTGATCACAAGAATCAGGGGTTTCAAGAAGGCTTCTTGGTCCTGCCTCGTGTGTCAGAAGGCCCCAGCTCTGTAACAAAGGACAAAATGTAACCTTTAAGATTTGTTTTCTGGGGCTGGGGATGTGGCTCAAGCGTTAGCGCGCTCGCCTGGCATGCGTGTGGCCCGGGTTCGATCCTCAGCACCACATACAAACAAAGATGTTGTGTCCACCGAGAACTTAAAAATAAATATTAAAAAAAAAATTCTCTCTCTCTCTTAAAAAAAAAAGGAATTGTTTTCCTTCAGACTAAGATTGTGGCTCAGTGGTAGAGCGCTTGCCTTGCGCGTGTGAGGCTCTGGCTTCGATCCTCAGCACCACATAAAAATAAATTAAAAAATAATAAAGAATTTGTGTCCATGTGCTGGGCTGTGGCCAGAGCCAGAGAGGCGAGGGCCACAGGAGACCTGGCTTCTTACACTCTGGCCCCATCACATCTCTGGGGTGCTGGGATCAACTGCACAGGCTCTGGGACTGGCTTGGGGGGGCTCTGATCCCAGCGCCACCCACCATTGCCTTTTGGTGACTAGAAAGTTACCTAAGCTCTCTGTTCCTTATCGCTATGCTCAGGGTCTGGAATGTCCCCAAAGGGCCACATGTTAAAGGCTTGGCACAGATTGGTGCTGCAGGCGGTGGGTCTGGCGGGGGGTCCCTGGGGATGTGCTCTTGAAGGGGGCTGCGGCTCCCAGCATCTTCCCCTTCCTCTTTTTGAGTCCTGGCCACGAGGTGAGCAGGTTTGCTGGGCCACAGGCTCCCACCCCGCAGGGCTGCTTCCCCGGCAGAGGCCACGGGCCACCGGATCCTGGAGCAGAGGCCACACAACAGAGCCCACGGAACCCCTTTTCTTCCTAAGTTGAGTATGTCGGGTATTTGTTGCAGTGACGGGAAGGTGACATATTCATTCATAAAATGGACACGGTGAGAACACGGGTACTGCCTTCCTGTGTACTGCTGTGGGCGAAATCTATTCAAAACGTAGCATCTGAGCCACCAAAGGCCGCGCAGGTTCTGTGGATGGAGAATTTGGTAGCCGCTTAGCTGGGCAGCCGTGGCTCAGGGTCTCTCTGTTTTGTTTTTTGTTTGTTTTTTTTTTTTTCTATAAAACACACTTAGGATAAAATTAATTTATCAATTAGGCAACTGCAGAAGATGATCAATAATAACTGTGGGAAGCCACCCTGAGCTATTTGAGCGTCTTCACTGGGCCTTGAGCCAAGGAGATTTAGGTTTGGCTTTGCAATCCGTTTTGTGTCTCCGCCCACTGGACGTTTGCACAAGGCACTGACCTGCTGGCCTAGGGAGGCCCATCTCCTAGCTCCTGAGTTGGGCGTAACCTTTTGGGGACTGGACAGCCCACCTCCTACCTTCTTTGGCAAAGAACATTCTATGGAAAACCTTTGAAGTTTCCCCCATATAACAAAGCACATGAGGGCTCTGGCTCGCTCTCTTCCCAGTGTGGAAGCTCGGCCCCTGAGGTCGAAGAGCTGTCCCACGCTCGATTTCTAAAATTACTTTCCATGTCATGTGTTTTTTTTTTCCACCACCTTCTTTTCCTAGCTTTATTTCATAGCCAGACAGTTTCACGCAGAGGAAACCCAAATTCCACCACCCCCATGGGCCATGGATGAGAAATAACAACTCATAAAATAGAAAAAATATAACAACATATTGTAATAAAATGGTCAACATCACTACTCCTGTGCTTTGAGGTCATTATTATGTAAAGTAAAAGGGACTTGAACACAAACCCTGCCATGCCCCTGCAGGTGCTCTGATAACCCAGGAGGTTACTCAGTTACTAACGGACAGGTAGTGTATACAGCATGGATACTCTGGACAAAGGACTGATTTGTGTCCTGGGTGGGATGGAGGGGAATGGCATGAGATTTTGATGTGGTACTCAAAACTGTATAACTTAATATTCATTATTTTTTTTATATTTGGAGTATTCTATTTGATGTTTTCAGACATCTGTTGATCTTGAATAATTTAAAGTGCAGAGAAAGGGCAGTACTGTGTCCCCATTTCTACAACATCCTAGTGGTTACACAGATTTGCCTTATGGAGTGTGAGAGGAAAACACACACACGTATGAGATCATTGAGGGCCACCCTGGAGGCTGGCAACCACAAGTCCTTAACTCAAAAGGGTTCTGGGGGGATTAAACACATTATTATATCAAAAGGATTCGAGATCACTGCTGAGTATACAATGAGCGCTAATAAAGGTTACTTTTGTTATTGTTGGCCCACAGGTTGATCTTTTACCACATGACCCTGTGGATGTTTTCAAGGTCATAATCTTTCTCTCTTCAGTTTAGGACGTCCTTCAAGTAGCTTCTACTTGAAATGGTTTTTGAATTTCTGAATAAATATGTTTACTAAAACTTTACAGAAAAATGTCTGATCCAGGTGCATTTCCAATGACTTAGAAACAAGAATAAAAAGTTAATGTTCCCCTACACAACCTCCTACTTTCCTCCCAGTAGGAAACCACTTTTAAATTTATATTCTTCTGGCCGTTTTATCTTGATTCGTAGACACGTTACACTAGTCTTAAATAAGTGAGGCTATTGTGAACCAATGACTCAATGATTTTAATTTGTTTGCACAGTTTATCTGGAAACCATGCCTGTTGAATCAGAGCATTTAGGTGATAGCCTAAGCCCCATGGCGTGACCATTAGGAGATTTTTTTTTTCTAGGTGGTAAAAGGTGTTTTCCCCCTTTATTTTATTTTTTTTATTTTTTAGTCCTGGGGATTGAACTCAGGGGTGCTTAACCACTATGCCACATCCCCAGCTTTTTTTTTGGGGGGGGGGTTACAGATATGCACCACCATGTCTGACTGTAATATTATTTTCTTTTTTAAAAAATATTTTATTTACAGTTTAGTTCTTG